CAACACATGTTTCTAAAAAAACAAACCACACTGGATTACTGACTCTGCAAACACTTTTGTTTTTCACGTAGTTGTTACTTGCCCCTAAATCGAATTTTAGTGAAAAGTACCTCCACAGGATTGATTTCAACCTCTTCCTACATATACATACACACGCGCCATGCTACAATGGGAGCAAAGGTTTACAGTAACTGTCAGTTGACATGCGACGTTTCGGATTCCATATCATAGCGCTTCTCATGATACTAAATATCACGAAACGCAGACAGCCGGGAAATAGTCTCAAGTACGAACTAAGAGAGCAACGCATAGGTCTGTCAAGTTAGGCGAACGAACGTTCTAGATTAATTCATCATCAGGCAAATACAATAATAGAAGGGAGCAACTGGGCGACAAGAAGTAATCGTTATACCCCTTACCCCCTTTCCCCGCTCTAATTATAACTAGAATCTGACCTCTTTGATCCCTTAGCAACTCCCCCCTCTCCCCCTAATTACTAACGATTGGTGGCTTAAACTTTTGTAAAACCTACCCTCCACTGTGTTATTGTATATCTGATGATGAATCATTCGAAAAGCATCGTTTGCCTAACTTGGCTTCCTGGTTGCTTACATAGGAATCATGGCTGAACATTGGTCAGTATTTTGTGCCGTGAGCACTATCCCTTCCAGACTAATTTACTGAAAGTCACTTATCCCTATTCGTATTGGCTAAATAGTGTCTGTGACGAAGAAAAGGAGTTAGCGTAAAATTGATGAGTTCGAACGTAAATTCCTGTCGACTCAATTTGGTAAGGCTATTTGAACGAAGGTTAGTCCTCTTTAAAACTCTTCTTTTTTGTTCTTACTGACAGGCAAACATTTGGGAGCTTGCAGGCCTTGAAGGCCTACAGACTGCGGTAGACAAAATGACTGCTGTTTGACGTTCTAACAAGACGTCGTATACTCTATCGTAGCTAATCGCTTCAGCTCAGCAGTGTTTTCTTTTTCGTATGCTTGCTTTCTTTGCTTTTTCTCCTGGAGCAAACCTCCCCTTCCGTCTTCCCAAATCCTACCGAAAAGTTTCAGATTCCCTTCCTTTTAGGCGACGGGGTCTTCAAGAAGAGTAATGTATTTGCTGCGTTAGTCAGTGCTGCACGCGCACGTTCGCTTCATGCTGTATCCTCTTCTGAGACGTCGTTTTCAGTCTGAACTGAGCAAAGCGCCGTGTTGCGCTTGTCGTTTCTACTGGCCTTTTTTTCTTCCCCCCTCTGGAAATGTCGGCAAGCTAATCCTCTCGATATTTTGCCTCGTGGCGTGAATTTTAAGCCTTTCCTGCGCGCCTCATGTTAGGCAAGGCGTGCTCTCTCTCTCTCTCAATGAATTATTTAATTTCGGTACATATTTTTGCCTTTCGTTACTCTGTTTCTTTGTGCCTCATTGCTTGTCTGGGAAAGTGTGACACTAGTGCAGATTATTCGTTGGGTCATGACCGAAACTTACGGACTCCCACCCCTTCAACAAATACAAGCATTAATAGGCAATGATGGTATGCAGTTGAATAAGAGGTCACGAAATTGTATGACGTCATTAAATTGGGCTGGTCTCGTGGTTTTTGCTTTGTTCAGATAGCAGACACCTTTTTTTAAATAAATAAGATTATTCAGGCCCCGCATGAAATGCGCGTAAATTAGCGGAACCGTCCCTAGTCGCTAGGTTATAGGCATAGATGCATCGACCATCTAATGAACCAGTTTCAGTTAACTTACACCGTTACGGTGGTCGAAAGTGTCAATTTTGTTAATAAAAAAAACGAAAAAGCCGGAAGCAGACAAATGCCTGTCAAGTGTGCTAGAACTCAATTTACAGAACTGCATAAAATATGTTTGGGAACAATCCTTTTAAGGGCGCATTTAAATGTACTTCACAAAAGGTGCTTATTTTCTGTCCTTACGCTAACCCAAACCTTAACAGCAACCTTATCCGCCTCAATAATCCCTATTTCCTTAGAATTTAGCTCAAACCCAAACTCTATTACGGGACTCTCCGATTCCCCTACCCTGCTGGAGGGATCACATAAAAGAGCTCTAACGCCTGTTCATAGACCTAGCTGAAACACGAAACGGCATTAAATCTGGGTATTGTTATCCCCTTTCTATTTAGACATTATCTAATGGGTAGTAGGTAAAATTTAAGTTGCTCGCCCACTTTAGATATCCGTAGCCCCTAGTTGTGTGATTACTTTGAGTCTTATTAATTTTATTTTAGTTTAGTGTAGTGTAGTCTTTAGTCTATTATTTAATTTACTAGCTTAATTATAGTTTTAATTTAATTTACTTTTATTTTGGTTAGATATCGCCAACGTTAGAATGCAAACACATTCACTTATCTATTAAGATTGAGCCAATTTTCGTGTCTTTGTGGCTTCTTTCTCTGACTATAAATACACAAGACAGTGACCACGTGAATACTAACGTATTACTAAAACTGTCAATGCTCTGTTTGCCCAAGCAAGTAAACTGAAAATAATGTTTTACTCACATACTGCCCCACCTGATTTATCAGGACACTGTTGAGTCTGAGTTCCGTTAATTATCACCGGACCGTTGTACGTCTTCGCGTTTGCAGACCTATTCGCCGGAATCTTAATGTTTAAGGTTAGGAGAAAGGTGAACGGGACAGATCAATTTTACTTGTTGAGGCGAATATTCGCATCCCAGGTGTATGTATAGGTAAAAGGGAAGAAGACCATTCGATCATCGAAATCATGGTTTTATTCGTCTGAGCTTTCGAACGATGGAGATCATCAACAGAGGTAAAGGCGCCAAAGAAAACAAGCAACAGTTGTATGGGCAGGGGCCCATCAACCACCAAAGACATCAGTCCGGC